TAACTTCACTTCAGAAAGGGTCTCCTCTCTCCAGATTATAGTTATTTTGTTCTCTTTATTTGCACAGAAGTCTGTTCTTTTAAAAATATAATATTTTGGTCTGGAGGACAGACTGGTAGGCTTACCAGCTTGTCACCTCACAAGCACAAAGGTGGACGGGACAAACACTGATCGACTTCACTCTCTTCTTTGAAAACCAATTACAGCAGCTACACAAAAGTGAAATAACAATTAAACCAAACCAAACTCACTGCCATTGAGTCCTTAGTGACTTAGAGTGACCCTCATGCTGGTTTCTGAGACTGTACCTCTTTGGGGGAGTAAAAAGCCTAGTCTTTCTCCCACAGCTGTTGGTGCTTCTAACTGCAGATCACAGTCCAAGGAGTAACCACTACACCACCAAGGCTCCTGAAATAATAAATAGATGACTTTCAAATGGCTTGAAAACTTTTGATTCCCACCACCTGCATTCTTCCCTCAGCCTCCCAGTGGCAGTTGTGGTAACAATCACTGTGATTCACAGACCACCCTATTCTAGGGGAAACTAGATATCTGCTTCTGGAGTTAATAGTGTCTGACACATACTACAACAGAGGTGGACTTCAAAGACATTATTCTCCGACAATGAGCTAACCATAGAAGAGGAGATGTAAACAACCTCACCGTCAATCAATAAATGGATATTTTTTAAAGCTATAGACATGCAGTGGAATACTACCCAACCCTAAAAAGAAATACAGTAATGATGACATGGATAGAATAAGTTGATCATAAAAAGGCAAATACGGTAGGGTTTTATTTTTATGAAGTAAAGAAATGAGTAGACACGAAAGTCTATTATGGTGGTTACCATTAGTACGAGGAGTGAGAAAAAGGAAGTCGTGATGTAGGGAGTACTAAAGTTCTATTAATAGCACTTAGTTTGGGACACCAATTCATAATGGTTGCATAGCAAAATAGAAGTAATATCACTGTATTACACAGTAAAAATGTTAAATTGGCAATTTTGAAATTTATAAAAAGAGATGGTTTACACAGTTACTTATGCATCTATGGAAACTCATCAAGATGTGTTACTTTTAAAAGGTGAATTTTAATATATGTAAATTAAACCAATAAAGATCACTTGAAAAATAGCAACTATGCATTTTTGCAAATGAGCAATATGGAATACTGGACAGTGCCTATTTTTCTTTAGAAGTTTCCATTATCCTTGCACTCTTCCTCTACCTATGGTTAATTGCAGTCTGGGGATGGGCTCCCCGGAGGTAACTCCCAAGAGTCCCCCAATTCTGTTATACATACTTCAGTAGAAAATATGGACAGACTTAGTCTGATCTAGAAGTTGGTACTGAGCCTTCATACATAGGTCTTTAACCTGAGGCAGATGTGGAGCAGAAATGTTATTTTTTTCTCCCCAGGAACCCATAAATATCAAAGGTAATGTTTCTTGAATCAAGACTTGATTAATGGAATGCCCAAGAGCCATGCAGCAGAAGAAAATGGCTGAAGCTACTGGAGTCTCATCAGAAAACAGGAACTAGATAAGAGGAAAAGGAAGGGATAACGTTATTGTTTTCCTATTAATAAAACAATTGTTTTCCATGTAGGAAGTTAACTCTTGTGCTTTACCTAGTCCCAAAGCCACAAAGTTGAAGCTGAAACTCATGAACAAAGAAAGAGCAGGTAAGTTTGGGCCATATGAAAAAGATAATGTTTCTCACAATAGGTTGTTAATGGCGGTAAGAGGTAAAAATGATTTGCAGTGCTTTAGATTAATATATGAGGGCATTGGTGATCCAGTGGTAGAATTCACATCTTCAACATAGAAAATTTGGGATTTTCAATGCACTTCATGTGGAGACAACACTCACCTATCAGCAGAGATTTGCATGTTACTACGGTGCTGAGCAAATTTCAGCAGAGGTTTCAGACTAAGGCAGACCATTTATTGAGATCTGTTGAGTTTTTTTAAAAAATCAGTTAATGGAAGAACTCTGTGTCAGAATGGTCAAGGCCACAACTAATCCTGGGGATGGTGCAGGATCTAGCAGTTTTTAATTCCCTTGTGCATGGATTCTCCGTGAGTTAGGGGTTCTACAGCAGCTAAAAACAGCAACAACTAAAGGTGTAAATTATTAGCAAGAACAATAAAAAAACCTTAAACCCACCTCGATTGACTTACTATGAACTCCTCATGACTATCGCTTCTGACTCAGACACCCTGCAGGCAGAGGAAAAGTGGGAGCGGACTCTTCTGTTTTCTGGCAGAGTGGTTGGGGAGTTTGAATGCTGATTCTTTGGTTAGCAGTGCAACGCCACACATCACCCACTACACAACCAGCTCCCTTACTTGAATATTAGAATTTTGTCCTTACGGAGGGAGAATTTTGAAGCAACTTCCCGATGTTTCGTATTCCTTACCCTTTGATCGGCAGCTGACACAAAGAGGCCAGGCTGTTATCTCCAACGCCTCCATCCTCTCTAACCCACCCTGCACTCCCCAAATGCACTTATGGTCCTGTAAACAGTCAGCGGTTAATACATGCAGAGCACTCTGACAGTTAATAAGTCCTCCATATGGGTTAATAATAAACACTGTTATGATTATTATTAACATTGCCTCTGGTTATACTTCCTTTCGTGGGAAGCAAGCATGTCTGTGTCGAGTTTGTTTGCTGAGGTTACCACAGCCTGGACTAACAGAGCGGTGTCGAGGTCCTCTGCGGCAAAGATGTCGCTTCTCTCTTCAGTCTTCAGTTTTAGGGATGCAGAGTTCTGGATAGTAGCTATCATGCCATTCTTGCAAACATTAAAAATATAAGACGGTTTCATTCGGTAAAGATTTACAAACACTGGGAAATCTCATAGAATGTCACCATCAGTCAGAAATGACTCAAAGGTAGTGGTTAAGAGGGAAGTAAGTGAATGTTGGCATTTTCGGCTAAGTTATTCCATTGAGTTCAATTTACTTTTTCTTAATTTCTAGAATTAGCCCAGATTCATATTAACCATTTACTATTGGACAAAAACATTTTAATTTTGACAGAAAGTATTTTGTTAATATGGTGTTTGTGCATCATTTAGTTAAAACTGACTATGTACCCAGTTAATTTCATTTATTACTGAATCACTTTTATTTATTTATTTATTACTGAATTTATTATTTATTACTGAATCACTATTTCAATATAATAAGATATGTTCCTTGTGCAGTTATCAAAATTTATTGAACTATTGTCATTTTAAAGAAGAGTGACTCTCACAGATTAAATAGACCAATCTCCCTTTTTACAAATGAGAAAATAAAAAAACACATATCAACAACTCCTTATTAATTTTTAAAATCACAAAAATATTTTTTGATAGAACCAAGATCTTCTTTAAGTGCAGGGAACACTTTTATACTATATCCCTAGAATCAAAGTATGTAATTATATAAATGACAAACCTAATATATGATATTTTCAATATACAAAGGATTTCATACTTAATTTGCTAGTATGTGAAATGGTAATTGTAAGAAGCTTACATTTGACATAGAGACAAAAATAATTATCATCATTTATATGTCAAACATTTGCTTTATCATTCTTATAACTTGCTATTTTGTATGTCAAACATTTGCTTTATCATTCTTATAACTTGCTATTTTGGAGTTTGTCTCTATTTCTAATGTTTAATCTAATGTTCATTTAATCTACCATGCTTAATAATGCTTCCTTGTTAAAGCAAGAACACGGTCATATTTTACATGTAATAATTGAGGTTTTGGGAGCATTATTTTCATGACTGTTTCCTTCATTATTTCACTCTTCAGAAAAATATAACTATTTTTGTAAGGGGAAACATTTGCATGCCCAAAATTGAGGGATAGAGGAAAGCTTCATTATTGAGAAAATCCCCAATAAAAAGAACCCTAGATCCCTGAGTAACTGAAGGAAATAAAAATCCTGAGAACCAAAGTGCTGTCACATGCTTATTGTGACTCTGCACTGAAGTGTGATACTAATAACTCCACCCATTTTCCATTGACTTCAGAATAGTATATAATGCTTTAACTTATTTATTACCAATTCAGGAAGGCATGGGATAAAAATAGCTATAACATGAAGTGTTTAAAGATATTATTGAAATAAAAGCAAAAATTTTGGTGTGATTGACTGAAAATAAGAAAAGACATTGCATATTAATCAGCAGGCCACACAAAGGAAATCAATTCACTCTGAATGGGGTTGAATATTTGAGAATTACATTTGTAGCCAGTGTTAAAACAGGTGCTATATGTTGCTTTGGGGACAACTCCCATGCAGATATGGTATCTTTAAAATATTTTCAGGAAGTGTTACTTTACTCTATCGGTGATAGACAATACCTGAAAGATCTAGAGACAAAGAAGCTGTCATAGGTTGTTCAATAAGTAAAGAAATTATTCAAATACAAAGATAAACTAGAATAATAAGAGAATAAAACAGAAATGTCAAATAAAATAGAAAATTATGGTGGTCAAAAGAAAAAGAATATAGCACCTGCTTTATTTGGTTGACATAAAAATTTTATTGAATATAGCTATATGATGACCTCATGACCATATGAAGAGATCCTATGGTGGCTTAGGCAGAAGGCATTTCAAAAACTTGAAATATGCCAAACTAAAAAATGCCACCAGGTCAGAGTACATTAAAAATATATATACCAAAAAGAGTAGTAACATTAGAGATTCTCATTAGTTAAAGGACTAAATATTCACATTTTAAAAGTCAGATATACTTTAGGATAAGACATCGTTGATCTCTACTACACATGTTTTGCTTTAATGGAATTTTGCTTCGATTTGTCATTAATGAGAATGTACTAGGGCTCTTTGGTTTCAATTCTGGGTATAGGTGTACATGTAAGAAAATGGTGATCTAGAGAAATACATATTTTAACAAAGCATATATCTCCTATTATTTTGCCTCTGTAGAGTTTCTACTCAAATAAAGCATTGGAATGAAAACATGGACCAATATAATGACACTTCAAATGACTTCATCCTCCTAGGGCTCTTTCCTGAGTTTGGCCATCCACACCTCCTCATCCTCATTATCATCCTCATCTACACCATGGCTTTCACTGGAAACGCTCTGCTGATCCTTCTTATCTGGTTAGACACGAGGCTTCATACCCCTATGTACTTTCTCCTTAGCCAACTTTCCCTCATTGACCTATCTTACATCACCAGCACAGTCCCTAAGACAGTAGCAAACTACTTCACAGGAAGGAAGAACATTTCCTATTTTGCCTGTGCATCTCAATTGTTTTTCTTTCTCACCCTTGGCCTTGCAGAATGCATCCTCCTGACCCTCATGGCTTATGACCGCTACGTAGCTATCTGCAACCCCCTAAGATACACAATCCTCATGAGCCCCAATGTCTGTCTACAGATGACAACGGCAGTTTGGGTTGGGGCAGCTTTGGCCGCCCTCGTCCATACCATCTACCCAATGCAATTCCCGATCTGTGGCCCCAGGGAAATTAATCATTACTTTTGTGAGATGCCTGCCATCTTGAGACTGTCTTGCGTGGACACATCAACCTATGAGACAGTGAAATTTGTGTCAACTATTGTGTTCCTTCTGATTCCATTTGTTCTTATATTGTCATCCTACACACTCATCTTCCTCACTGTCCTCAGGATGAACTCCCGCAAAGGAAGGAACAAAGCCTTAGCCACCTGCTCTTCCCACCTCACAGTGGTGAGTCTCTACTTCGGCCAGGCCATCTTCATCTACATGACACCCGGCTCGTCCCACACACCTGAACAAGAGCAGATAGGAGCCGTACTCGGCACCATCGTGATCCCCATGCTTAACCCACTCATTTACAGTCTGAGGAACAAAGAAGTGGTAGGGGCTCTGAAGAAGGAAATGGAACAGTGGTGCAACTGTGTACATACTCTGTTTCCACAGGGTCCTCAGAAATGTTCTATCCTCCATCTTCAGAGTAACCATGGACAACTCAAAGCCTAACGTGGTTTTATTATAATATTGTCAATATGACATCAGGAAAGAGAGAAAAATATTAAGGTTAGAGAATATTGGCATTTTTTTGTTAGGGTGGAACAATTTTTAGAGCCATAGTGGTGTCTTCAGTATAGTGTAACCTTATTAAATGCTATTTACCATTGATCTTGCATGAAAATTTATGGATTTTCATGTTCACATCAAACTGATCTCCATCATCTTGATCAACTTCAATGTTGATTCTAGAACAACAAATCCCATGATTGATTTTTCTTATTTTAAAACCATCCTGTCAACGTCTGTTCTCACTCATCTAACTATTCTTAATGTCCAACACTGATTCTCCATTCACAAGGAGCACAAAGACTAATTGTCCATGGAAACATCACAGATAATTCTCCTTTCTCCACTTCTAATTTTACCTAATAATAATTTATAAATGTTTATATGTGATTTACTTATTTTTTGTTGTGTTCCATCGCAAACACTGTTCTCTATCTTTTCTGTCTAGATTCTACAATCCATTGCAAGGATACACAGAACCTACATGCAATATCATGCAATAAAACATTTATTAAGGATGTTAACAAGTTATAGTTCAAGTAAGGAATGCTTAGAAGAGCGTTGTTTATCCAGACATGTCATAAAGTTACTTCAGGGCTGTTAGTAAATGTCCAACGGGCATGCCATTCCCCTGTAAGCATTCAGCTCAAGCGTGGTGCGTCAGCAAACCCAGGACCCTGAATTAAGTGTGCAGAGACACCTCATTTCAGTAAATCTCAGTCTGAAGGCACTCAGGTCCACCTTTATGAGGCAGATTTGAATTAAATATTTGTAACCAAATTCTACAGATTATATTTCAACTTATTTTAATTGACATCATCATTGCCATTATCATAATCATGTTTTCTTAAAAGGTATTTTTAAGCAGTTTTCTTATTTTGTTGTTGCTGAAAACATACCAGTTCAACAGTTTTTACATGTACAGTTCAATGACATCGATCTCACACTTTAATTTGTTCAACCATTCTTACCCTCCTTTTCTTAGTTGCTCCTCCCCTATTAATATAAAAATCATTGCCCCTCAGGATGTTCTCTAATTGTTCAAGTCACTATTGTTACTTTGATCTCCTACATATAGGTTTTAAAAAGCATAATGTTTTCTATGAAGCCAGCATTAGTCTGATTCCCAAACCAGGCAAAGACCCCACAAAGACAGAAAACTACAGACCAATATTGTTCATGAACATAGATTCAAAATTCTTCAAACAAAATCCTGGCCAACAGAATCCAAATACATGTTAAAAAATCAGATTGTGCAAAAAGGGTTTCATGATTCCATTTCTGTGTAAGGCATGCTAAAATGTTATATTGGCTGCTGCTGCTGTTATTGTAGCTGCCATCCTGCCATCCGTGATTCATGGCAGCAGTTTCCATAACAGAAACAAATACTGCCTTCTCCTGTGCCATCTTCATGATCCCTGGTCTATTGAAATGTCTATTTAAATTTATTTTGATGTCATTGTTTTATGTAATACTATTGTTTACATATGACTAGATATATAATCTGTATATAAGATAAGAAATAGAAAGGATTTTCATTATATTTAAATGAATTTTCATATATAAAGGGCTGCATTTTTTATTGTATATGCTATATAATACAAATATTCACAAACCCCATTCTAGTTTTAAAGTATTATGTTTTGTGAAATTAAATATTACAGCAGCTCCTTATGATATTCATAATTTCAAAAGGAACAAAATGTGACTGCTGATTTTAAATAGTGAAAGTAATGTTTCAAGAGGACTCCAAGCCCCAGGTTTTTGGAGAACATGAAGGGGAAGTTGGTCTGAGGCGAAATTAGAACGTTTGTGGTGCCATTTCCCCTAGCACCCCAACCTTAATCTCCATCCCATGTACCCTCGGCCCACATCATCTTAACTGTCACTTCAGAAAAAATGGCAGGATGGCAGCTACAATAACAGCAGCAGCAGCCAATATAACATTTTAGCGTGCCTTACACAGAAATGGAATCATGAAACCCTTTTTGCACAATCTGATTTTTTAACACGTATTTGGATTCTGTTGGCCAGGATTCTGTTCCCCAGAAACAGAAAGCCCTTTCAAATAGGAGAGTTGTGAGACAGTGTTAACCAGGAAGGACTGACTCCAGGCACAAGCAGTAAGACAGGAGAAGAAGGTACCCTGTCACAGGTGTGGCCCAGCTCATATTTCAGCTTACATTTTAACCCACATGAAGGGGCATGGCAAAGGCTCTGACCAGGACTGTGAGCTGTGTAACAAAGGTACAGGTGAGACCTGTCCAGTGGAAGCCGCATCAGCACTGGCAGCCCCTCCATTGCTGTGGATTCTCTGTGAGGAATCTTAGTGCACATTTGAGCTCTGAACTACTTCCCCACTAGCCCTGTTTGGATCCAAGTTGGTAGGGGAAGAGAGTGGAGGAAAATCCCTTAGTAGATCATTGTGATCGGTTGCCTGTCTCTCCCCCCACTCCCTTTTCCTTACCCTCCTGATATAGCTACTCTCGTTATTGGTCCTGAGGGGTTTATCTATCCTGGATTCCCTGTGTTTCCAGCTCTTATCTGCACCTGTGTATGGGGGAATCGGTCACAATGATCTACATATAGCCCCCTCCCTGGGGGATGCACAACAGAAAAGTTGATGAAGGGAGACATCAGTCAGTGTAAGACATGAACAAATAATAATAATTTATAAATTATCAAGGGTTCGTGAGGGATTGAGGATAGGGAGGGAGGGGGAAATGAGGAGCTGATACCAAGGACTCAAGTAGAAAGAAAATGTTTTGAAAATGATGATGGCAACAAATATTCAAATGTGCTTGACACAATGGAAGGATGTATGGATTTTGATAAGAGTTGTATGAGCCTCCAATAAGAAGATTAAAAAAAAGAAAAACCCTTAGTAATATCTACTAAGTGCTACTTCTTCCTCTACTTCCCCACTAACTATGGAGTTTCCAGAAGTAAAGGAGGAAGAAAATGTGTTTTCTTAGGGAATTAACTAGGTTTTAATGATTTGTTCTCCCGTTTCTTCCTTGTTCCCGTCAGACTTGTCCCCTGAATTGTATTGACATCTTCAGGATGGTGGGCAGTAGAGGCAGAGCTCTCTGTCATTTCTGCCCTGCCCTCCTATGGATTTGAGAGCCCCTTTCTCCATAGTTATTCTTGCTCTCTTCTACTTCCTTCCCTTTCTATTGTCTGGTGCTCTTCCTGGGGTAGTTGGGGGTTGGACTCTCTCTCTCTCTCTCTCTCTCTTTCTCTCTCTCTCTCTTAACTCAGGAAGAGAGAGGAGGAAGAAGAGAGGAATCAAGATTCTGTTCCTCCTGAGATTTAAGAATGGGAAGGAGTAGGAAAGGCAAAGATTGTACATTCATAATTTTTTTTAAGTCAGGCCCTGAGCATCTCTTCTATTTGAAACTCTGCCAGGGGAAAAAATGTGCGTGTGTGTGTGTATGTGTAATGAGCCCTTAGGGCCAGAAGCAGAGTCTTCAGGGAGTCCAGGTAAGTAGGAATATCCAGAAGCTAAAGGCATTTCCTGAGGGTGGGACAATACAATATAGCGGACACCCTTTCCCTCTCTACCCCAGCACCCTAGCTCCATTCTTGATCCCTTTTTTCCCCCTAGCTCCCCTTTCATGTCATAAGCTTTGCCACTGGTCATGTCAACTAACATATTACTGTGTCTTCTACATATTCCCCATACATTCCACTTCTCTCTTTGTTGGCTCCCATTACAGTTAATATTAAATTAAAAAAATTAATTGTATCAAACTTACAATCAATGCATATGATGGATATGATTTGAAAATTGTTTTTCAAATATGGCAAAAGAAAGTTCCCATTCACCAGAAATATCAGTAATAAAACTCAAAGTTTACTGTAAACCTCAAAGTTACTAAGTCTTTAACTGCTAGTCCTCTTATATAAGCAAGCTATATATATATATCTAAATAAAATATATTTTTTCATTATTTTACCACTGTAATATTTCAAGAATATGCATCCAAATCCTTATGATAAAGGAGAAATGAAAGAGACACACACACACACACAAAGACAAATATAACTTTAATTTTGTTTTCTTGGCAGAAAGAGTTTAATTAACTTCTAACAAATAATATTAAACCATAAATTTTCTAAACATGCCAATGATTAATATGCTATTATTTACATATTAGTTGTAATAGTTTTCAGTGTACATATGAAATTTGTACTAGGAATAAAGAAAAACAGAAGAATTAGTGCATTTTAATTATGGTGTTGGCAAAATTATTGAATATAAAGTAGATTGTCAGAAGAAAAATACAAGGAGGAAGCCTAAAAAGGTGAATTGACACAATGACTGCAACAATAGGCTCAAACCTAGTGATAATTATGAAGGTGAGGTAGGATTGGGCAGTGCTTCTCGCTGATGGATTTAAGATTGCTATGAGTAAGGACAGATCTGTTTGTCTTTCAGCAGGTCATGGTGCTTTCAGTATTCTTCTCTAGTACCACAATTCAAGTGAATCAATCCATCTATGATCTTCCTCTGACTGATAAAAGACAAATCCATCTGTATTGGGAGATGTAAGACCAGAGGGCCCCTTCAAAAGCAAGGAGGGCAAAACTTCAACTTACATATGTTGGACTGAATGTTAAGAGAAGCCATTCCCTGGAGAAGGTCATCATGTTTGGTAAAGTGGAAGGGCAGCAAAAAAAAAGGAAGGCCCTCAATGCGATGGATCGACACAGTGGCTGCATCAATGGGCTCAGGCATAGGAACAATTGTCAGCATGGCACAGTACTGTGCAGTGTTTTGTTCTGTGTGCAAAGGGTCACTACGGGTTGGAGCTGAAATGGTGGCGCCTAACAATAACAACATGAGTAAGAAACCATTTGACCCTATGTAACAATACTATTTTTAATAAAATGCTTTATAATTCACATTTATCTTTTGAAACTTACAGAAAAAATAGGAAGGTGCAATTAATTTCTCTTAACAACAGCATGCTTCCCATTCCTGTAAGTAAAAGCATTATAATCTTATCATATGACCAGATTTTAGATGTCATTATACTCATTTTTCATATTACTTTAAATATAAGATTAGGAACCTTTGTGGTTCAAATGACTGTCTTTAACTGCTAATAAACAAGCAAACCAATAATAAATGTTGGCAGTTTGAACCCACCCAGCAGTTCCATAGGAAAAAGATCTGGCATTCTGCTACAGTAAAGTTTACAGACATGAATATTTTACAGATATGAAAACATTCTGAGGCAGTTCTACACGTTGACTAGAGGTCTCAGTCAAAATGGACTCAATGGCACCTGCACACCATAACAACTTTTAGATTGTGTGTCTTATTGTACAGTGAAGTCAGACAAAGCTAGTATGGCTTATCTGAATTCTGTAGATATTCATGGCCATCAAGTTAATTCTGGCTTCGTGACCCTAGAGAGGCAGTCCAAGGTCATGTTATTTGCAGGAGCAAGGCTATAATATTTGTTGGGGCAGCCAACCAAGGTTTTTCTTCTATGGTGGGACTGAAAGTTTAGAACACAGATCTTTTGGTTGTCAGTCTAGCAGGTAAACCTTCAGCAACCAAGGCTCCCTTGAAGAGGGACTATATGGAAATAGATGTTTAGCAAAAGAGAAACGTCTGTAGCAGTGAAGTCATAGGCATCAAGAAATGTATATTTTTTCTAGGGAAAACAAAATCAAGGGTGTGCTATCATTTCATTGATAGCACATAAATACAAGGTCTGTTAATTGCAATTTAATCCAGGTCTCCCAAAGTCAGTAAGTGAACAGAACATTAACTTTGAACCATTTTTATCTCTTGCAATCAAAGTAGGAAAGTGTTGAAATAATGATAATTTTCTGGAAAGAAGTGAGTATTCTTTTCATAACTTTCTTAATAGCCTCCTTTATCTGCTTGTTTCTAAGACTATAGATGATAGGATTCAAGAAAGGAGGAACTATACAATAGAACACAGAAATGACCATATCGTGTGTCAGAAAGGAGTTGGAGGTTGGCTTCATATACACAACAGCACCAGAGCCGAGGAAAACTATGACAATGAGGATGTGCGGGATACAGGTGGAAAAGGCCTTTCTTCGTTCTCCTCTGGTTGGAAACTTGAGCACAGTAGAAAATATGTGAACATAAGACAGGGTGATGAAAGAAAGGGTGCTACCACCTACTATCATTGAAGAGGTAAAATTTACAATTTCATTGGTTAAGGTGTCAGAGCAGGAGAGCTTCAGCAGAGAGGGGATATCACAGAAAAACTGATGAACCACATTAGAACGACAAAAGGACAAATGGAATGTGTTCCCAGTGTGCACACCTGCATAGACCAGACCACTGAGTGCAGAGGCCAACGCCATTTTGACACAGACTCGAGGGGTCATGATCATATGGTAGTGGAGGGGCTGGCAGATGGCCACATAGCGGTCATGGGCCATGAAGGTGAGGAGCAGTAACTCTACATAAGCACATAACACCACGAGGAAAATCTGAGCTGCACATCCAACCAAGGAAATCACCCTGTTGTTTAGCAGGAAGATGACACAGGCCTTGGGTACAGTCACAGAAATGTAACACATGTCCCAGACAGAGAGATTCAGGATGAAGAAATACATGGGGGTATGAAGTCTTTGGTCAACAGTGATTACTGTGACAATGAGAAGATTTCCTGTGAGAGTAGCCAAGTACATTAGTAAAAATAACATTGTGTACAAGACCCTGAACTCCTACACATCAGAAAATCCTGTAAGCAGAAATTCAGTCACTATGGTAGAGTTAGACATTTAGTATAATTTCTTTAGGATTTGAGAGAGACATTTAAAAATATCCTAAAAAAAAAAAGAAGGATGAAATAAATATAGTAAGTACATGCATTGATCCCCATTTTCCCCTTTATATATCCTATATCTGGCATTTCTTATCATAAAATAGCATAATATTAACTCATGTTCCTTTAGTATTTCTACTTGTGTAACTTATTTCTGAGTGGCAGCAAAATAAGCTGGGCTCAAGTTGGTTTACATTTCTATCACAGATGTGTATGCAGTATTAGGAGTCAAAGATCAAAAGTTTGCCTGGCAGATTTATTGCATTAATATAGGTAATTTCTATGTATGCACATTATTATTATTAGAAGACATTTAGTACAAAACTAGATGGTGACCAAAGTACAAACCATATAGAGATAGTATGCCACAATTTTATCAGATTATCCCCCTTTTAAAAAAATTCATCAATCATTCTATTTGGGACTCTTACATATAACAATCCATGTATCTATTATATTTAGCATATATGTACAAATATTTCAACAATTTCAAAACATTATCTTTCAACAATTTGAAAACATTATCTTTCTTCTTGAGCCCCTTGATATCATTTCCTCTTTTTCCCCTCCCTCACTTGCCCTGTCACCTTTTTGAACTCCTGATAAGTTGAGTTTTTATTTATTCATATTTTTAAATTATTTATTCATTTTATTGGGGGCTTGTACAACTCTTATCACAATCCATACATAAATCCATTGTGTCAAGCATATTTGTACATTTGTTGCCATCATCATTCTCAAAACATTTGCTTTCTACTTGAGACCTTGGTATCAGTTCCTCATTTTTCCCCTCCCTCCCCGTATCCCCCTCCCTCATGAACCCTTGATAATTTATAAATGATTATTTTGTCATATCTTACACTGTCTGACCTCTCCCTTCACCCACTTCTCTGTTGTCCATCACCCAGGGTGGAGGTTATGTGTAGATCCTTGTAATCAGTTCTCACTTTCCACCCTTCCCTACCACCACCCTCCCAGTATCGCCACTCTCAGCACTTGTCCTGAAGGGATCATCTGTCCTGGATTCCCTGTGTTTCCAATTCCTATCTGTACCAGTGTACATCCTCTGGTCTAGACAGATTTGTAAGATAGAATTGGGATCATGATAGTGATCACACAGGCTGGTGTGCTTCTTTCATGTGGGCTTTGTTGCTTCTGAGCAAGATGGCCGCGTGTTTACTTTCAAACCTTTAAGACACCAGACACTATCTACACCTTTTGATATCCAGTCACCATAAGCTTTCTTCACCACTTTTGCTTATGCACGCATTTGTCTTCAGCAATCATATCGGGAAGGTGAGAACACAATATGATATACAACCCTTTCTATCCTTCACCTATGATCCCCCTTGAGGGGGGTTATTTTGTCATCATTGCTATCAGTTCCCCTTTAGCCCTCTTCCTTCCCCAGCCCACCTTATGTCCTTAGACTCGTTACTGTTTCTGAAGGATTTGTCTATCCTGAATTCTGTAATTTGAAAGTTCTGGTCTATACAGATGTATGTACGCCACACTAGCTGGATTTGCTATGTAGGACTGAGATCATAATACTGGGGGGAGGAAGGATCACGGATCTAGAGAATTGTTTTGTGTTTTGTCAGTGCTATACTGCCCCTAGATGTGTCTTTCTTCCAGGCAGCACATCTGTGCTGGAATAGCCAATAATCCCTAGATGGCCCCTGGGTCTCTACCTTGACTTCTCTTTTTCACCTTGATGAGGTTATTTTTGGACTTACGGTGCCTGTTCCCATCCACACCTCATGATCACACAGTGTGCTTCCTCCATGTGGGCTTTGTTTATTGCCTGATGGAAGGCCACTTGCTTGGCTTCAAGCTTTTAAGACCCCAGATACTATAGCTTTTAATACCTTAGCACCATCTGCTTTCTTCAACACATTTACTTGTGTACACAGCTTGTACACATCATATTGGGAAAGTGGGTGTATTAGTCTACGTATTTTGGAGAAACAAATCCACAGAAACTCATGTATAAGAGAGTTTTATGTAAAGAAAATGTGCATCACGAAAACATCCCAACCTAATGCTGCCCAAGCCCACAAGTTTGTCAACCAACCAAAATTCACAGGATTATAGGGTTAAGGTATAGGTGTTAATTGCAATGGTGAAGCTAAGAATTATATAGAGATGCCAGGTTGGCAAGGGGTGGATTGAATTAGTTAATTGTGCCAGCCTGGCTGATAATCACATGTGGGGCTAATTGAAAGGCAGAGGGATAAATGGGTGGTGAGCCTCACCTTTCTAGTTCTCGGGTCTCTTGCTCTGTAATGGTCGCACCAGGGTGCAGCTGCCTTAGCAGCTCCCTGCTTCAGCTTACAAGATTGACTTCCTACAAGACATCCCCAAGGAGAAGCCACATGGACCTATCCCAATGCAGCCCTGGGTGCTGGAGCAGCCATGTGGAGACCCCTGCTAGTGCTGAGATGCTTATTCGTTTACTGACTCAGTTTTCCTCCTGCAGTTGGCATCATTGCCTCTGCTTTGTAGGTGGAGGACTTTGTGGACTGGTGCTGGGTTAATGGGTTAATGTTGGACTTGTGGGCTTGGGCAGCATTGGGTTGAAATGTTTTCGTGATACACACTTTCTTTACATAAAACACTCTTATATATGAGTTGCTGTGGATTTGTTTCTCCAAAGTACCTAGACTAATACAGTGGTCATCGCCCATTTCCAGCTTGTTAAAACCAAGTGTTTTTATGTTGAGGGAAAACGTGAGTAGAGGCTCAAAATCTGTCCACTACCTCAATGTATTGCCATATAAATGTATGTACATAAACCAATACTCCAGTGTTTATGTATTAATAATATATTTACATGTGTGTATGTCTATGTTTGTACCTCTATTAATAGTTTTGCTTCCTAGTTCTCTCCTCTATTCCCTTCTACTTTCCTCCTTTCCCACTATCTAGCTCACCCCTCATTTGCCTCTCTGCAATTCCTCTCAGCTTGATTATGGTTGTTCCAACCCCTCCAGGAACTCTGCACCATCCTCATGCTCGATTTTAGGTCCCTAGTTGTTCCCTTATGCATGACTTTATTTGCTTACCACTCCCTTCTCCCCACCTCTTCTTGCCCCAAGTACCCCCAAATCCATTGATCCTGTTGCTTTCTCCTTGGGTTTGCTTCTCATGCCTAGCTAATACAAATATACATAATAGAAACAACAAAGACAGGACTAGAAAAACAAAACCAGCTAAAAATAAGAAAGAAAGATAGAAAAGAGAGAAAAAAAAACATACATAGGTCCAGGTATAACTCATATATATAATATTAACTCATGTTCCTTTAGCATTTCTACTTGTGTAAATTATTTCTGTGCATATATTGGCTTACATTTCAATCACTGATGACTATGTAATATTGGGAGTCAAAGATCAAAAGTTTGCCTGGTAGATTTATTGTATTAATATAGGTGATTTCTATGTAAGTATACTATTATTAGAACACATTGATATATAGTTAGTTGGTGACCAAAATACAATCCATATAGAGATAGTAGGTTATGGTTTAACCAGAATATCTCAATTTTAATTAAAGCTCATTTCTTCCTACTGAGAAAAATACTGTTTATATTCCTATTTCCACCACTAAAATTTTTTCTTTCACTTGGAAAGTCCCCTGAAGAATTATTCTTTCTGACAATCCTTTTCTATTATCAATATATATTTGTTTATATAACAGCTAAGAAGTTATGGTTTTATTTACACATCTGATATTCTCTATCTGCACTTTTGTTAAATATTTTTTTACATTTTTACAGGGTAATTTTTATTGTTATCTAACCTAAATACAATAATTAACCAACTGAATCATAAGTACATCAGGTTTTATTTATTTTGGCTGTTATATGTAGTTTAGATTGTTCACACATTCTACAATAAAATTCCCATTATAATTATGCAATTTGGAAAATTATATACACAAGTTGAAATGAAATAACTGTACTATGAAAAGACCAAATGAGTCTATTAATCTATGAAGATGTACAGGTAAGAGCACTCAGCGAGAGTCAGGTTTGTCCGCTCAAAGGACAGATTATTACATGGCATTTTTTCTCTACCAGAACTTTGTAACCGTTTTGCTCTTTCCTACCAGGACAATTTATGTTCCTTGGTTTTTCATCCATTTTAGCTGTCTGAGGCCTGCAGTGGCCACAGAAGCCTGATTTGGGGTCCACTTTTATATCACAGTGATCCAGACCTGGAAGTGCTTTCCATTGATTTCCTACTAATTGCTTTTTAAAAACACACTCCTTTGGGAATACTATTGAAAAGGAGTTGTATTTATGTTTTAGATTTTATTTCCATTTTTACAATCTAAATGTTATAATTATAAGCATGTTTTCACTTTAAATATGTATTGCTATGTTTTAGAATTTAAATATACTTAGAAGTAATTACTTCAACTGAAAATACAATTGATAGACATTGATTGTTTGATCAATTAATATATATTCATATAATTCACCACAATTAATATCCCCTGGTTCTATAAGTTGCAAATAACACATATTTTTATTCTTAATTGAAATGTAAGAAAAAGAAATATTATTTGGGTGTTTTGTTTAGTTATATTTGTTTAATATTTGTTTAATTATACTAAATTTGTTTAATTATACTGAAATCTGACTAAGATGAAGTGCATTGAATACTCTATTTTGTCTGTCTCCATATCACTGCCATGTAGTTGATTTCAACGCTATAGTGATGCTATTGGTCAGGGTAGAAGTGCTCCTTTCCTCTCCCGAGGCTATTGATCTTTCAGGGAGCAAAAGCCTCCTCTTCTCCCTTGGAGCAACTGTGGGTTTTGAGCTGCTGATCTCTTTAGCACGCCAATGGCTAAAGTAGCCTACTACACCACCAGGGTTCCCTCTATCTTGTATAGAACATTTATTTTACTCCTAAAACCTGAACATATTCGAAAACTTAAATGACATCTCTTTAAATCTTACACTAAATTGTTTTTTTTCTGACTGTTGTTTTATATA